TCTTCTGTACTGCCATCAGAAGGCAACCCCTTCACCTGAACTCTGGGTCCCTTCCCCTCTCCCTTTAAGGACATTGCCCTCACACTTATCCCTTCTCTTCTCTACCATCAATGCCTCCTGCCCGCTGCACACATCCCTGTGGTAGAGTTTTAAAAGCCTGCTATGGTCTGAATGTCTGTCAACCACCCTCATATGTTTCATGTGTTGAAACCCAACCCCCCAAAGTGACAGTACTTAGAGTTGGGACCTAGAAGAGGTGATAAGGCCATTACAGTTCTTTTCTCATGAGCTGGATTAGTGTCCTTATCAAAGAGACCTGAGAGAGCTTGTTTACCTCTCCCACGTGAGGACACAGCCATGATCTTGAACTTCTCAGCCCCCAGAACAGTGAACAATACATTTCTATTTTTTATGAATTGCCCAATTAGCCAGGCTCAGTAGCACCTGCCTATAATCCCAGCAGTTTGGGAGGCTGAGGCAGGAGAATCATGAGTTCAAAGCCTCCGTAATTTATTGAGGCCTTAAGTAACTCAGTGAAACCCCATCTCTAAATAAATTATTAAAAAGGGCTGGGGATGTAGCTTAGTGGTAAAGAGCTCCTGGGTTCAATCCCCATCCTCCACACCTCAAAAAGAGAGAAATTGGGAGAAATACCTGGGTTCGGTGGTGCACACATGTAATCACAGTGACTCAGGGGACTGAGGCGGGAGGATCACTAGTTTGATGCCAGCTTGAGCAACTTGACAAAATCTTGTCTTAAATTTAAATAAATAAATGGCTAGGGATGGAGCTCAGTGGTAGAGTGCTTGCCTAGCATGTGCAAAGCCCTGGATTCAATCCTCAGCACCATAAATAAATAAATGGGAGAAATATAGCACATCTTGTATATATGTTTGAGAATTCACAAAAGAGAGGAGAAAATTGAAGATTTAGAGTAAAAGTAGAATTAATGAGAGCATTACTGTTGGATTCTTTACATTATTGGTTGGATTCTATACATTATCTGAATCCTAGGCTTCCTAAAATCTATATTTTTTTATTTCACTTCCTCTTGGAAAAAAACTTTTCTTTGTTTTTTTGTTTTGTTTTGTTTTGTTTTTTTATGGTGCTGAGGATTGAACCCAGGGCCTTGTGCATGCAAGGCAAGCACTCTACCAACTAAGCTATATCCTAGCCCAAAATCTTTTCTTTGATGAAGTTATTGTGGACTAGATCTGGTCTGCCATTGTTGTGGATTTGGTGCTAGCAATTTTTTAGATTTTTATCCTTCTTCTTGCATATAACAAGGCAGTGTGCTCAAAAGGACTACCTACTGAATTAGGAGGCATCTGGCCTGTTATAGCCAGATGCTGCGCATGACAAGCACGTAGACAACCATACATAGCATCTGGCTATAGCCATTGGTATTACCTATGATTGAGTTAAAGCCTCTAAATGTTATTGTTTGAAATTCACATGTGCCGCTCCTTACTTGGGCTTAGATTTGGAATTCCTCTTGCTTGGGGCAGGACTTTATTTCTGTAGGGCTGCACAGTTGTGCCTAATGATAGGTCCTTTGCTGCTCTCAGCAAATGTGGTTGCCAAAGCCAGGAAACATAAGCCAGTGCTGCTGACTCAGTCCCTCAGCTATTCTTATATCTGCTAACCACTTATCGAACACCATAATGGACAAAGACCCGGCAAGATGCGAAGATGAGTTAGTGAATCATGACTCGCCAGGTATGACCCTGCTGGTAAGGGACGTACGTTCAAGGAGACACAAAGCACACTGAACTATAATACACAGTAGAAACTCTTGAATGTCATAAAATTTCAAAGAAAGTACTAAAAGAGTCCAGAGGAAAAAGAGATATCACTTCAGGTTTGGAGGATATAGCTTCAAACTGACTAAAAGCAGGCAGATATTTTAAAGGAAATATACCCAATCAACCTCCTTCAGTGATCTGAATATTTCCCACATTTTGGCGATGGGAGTGTAACTCAGTGGTAGAGTACATGCCTAGCATGTTCAAAGCCCTGGGTTTGATCCCTAGCACCACTAAATAAATAAATAAATAGGGGTGTGTGTGTGTGTGTGTGTGTGCACATATGCATATTTTTCCCTTTAAAACACAAAAATTCACAGGAATTATGAGGCATACCTGTAATCCCAGCAACTAGGGAAAATGAGGTAAGAGGATCACAAGTTGGAGGCTAGCCTCAGCAATGTAGCAAGATCCTGTCTCAAAATAAAACATCAAAAGGGCTGGGAACGTAGCACAGTGTAAGAGCACCCCAGATTCAATCCCCAGTACCACCAAAATAATAAAAACAGTAGGAACAATAATAATAAAGGAGAAAGGGATGAACATGGTGAATGATAACTGCTCACATGACATGAAACCCATCACATCAGATGCAAGGGGTTTGAGGAGAAAGGCAACGTACATAATATTGAAAACTGAAGAATACTGTCTACTGTTTTCCCTCTCCTTCCTTTCTGTTAATATTTCCAATAGCTCCAAATATGTTGTGACTGGTGTCACAACAGACCCAGGAGAAGCAGGAAGAAATCGTGCATTCAATTTTGAAAACTATCCAAAAATATATGACTTAGGGCTGGGAATATAGCTTAGTGTAGAGTGTATGCTTTGCGTACATGAGGCCCTGGGTTCAATCCCCAGCACAACAAAGGGAAAAAAAAATAAAGGCAAAGAAAACAAGGCGTGTATACAATTTTATTTTATAAGAGAGAAGGATAAGAGAACATATTCCCACCTCCCCCCGCATCCAGCAGTATGTGTGTGTGTGTGTGTGTGTGTGTGTGTGTGTGTGTAAGACATAACAGAACTGTTATAAAGAAGGTAAATCAGCCACATAAATTGTAAAACAGAAGACCTGTTTCTATTTTTATGCAACCACTTAAAATCCACAAGTTTTCATCAATGTTATGTCTTTGTATTAGGAGATACACAAATACTTATAAATAAACCTACTTTATTTGAACACTTATTTAATTGGGTATTTATAGTAGCTTTTTTTATATTTATCACTATTGATACATGTTTAAAATGAGTTCCAGGATGCAGTTTTCTTTGCATAATTCTGAGAAGCAAGCAGGTTTCTAAATGATGTTCTAGTATATTTCTCTGCATTTGGACTTTTATGAGGTACGCCTGGGTTCTCAAAAATTGCACCCAGAGTAAAATAGCTGAACAAACCATTGAAGAAAAAATTTTAACTCTTGCTTATTTGCTCAGGAATATCTTTTTCTCTCTTTTATTTATTTATTTTAAAAATATTTTTAATTGTAGATGGACCCAATACCTTTATTTATTTATTTTTATATGGTGCAGAGGATCAAACCCAGTGCCTCACATGTGTTAGGCAAGCACTCTACCACTGAGCCACAACCCCAGCCCTTCTTCTCTCCTTAAAAAAAAAAAAAAAAAAATTCTTTTCATTGTGCAATTATATGCACACAGGAAAGTGCATATAAATATTTATAAAGTAAAACCTGTATAATTCCCAAACTAACCAAGGAATCTAGCATTGCCAAACCTCACTCACGTCCCGATCACAGCCTGACCCTTGCATCTAGAGGGTTATTATCCTGGCTTGCAATTGCAATTGCATTAACACTGAGCCACAACCCCAGCCCTATCATAACCTTTTATTCACAGTTCTCTTGAACGTATCTTTCTAGGTTTCAGTAATGAAAGATCATGCTGCTATGCATATATATTTACACATATATAAATATATACATTACATATATAAAAATATATTTTTATGGCCATACTGGGGATCAAACCCGGGAGGACTCTACTACCAAACTACACCCTCAGTCCCTTTTCATTTTTTGTTTTGAGACAAGTTTTGCCAAGTTGCCCAGACTGGTCTTGAACTCATGACCCTCCTGCCCCAGCCTCCCAAGTTGCTGGGATTACAGGTGTGTGCCACTGTACATGGCTTGTTCCACATATTTTCATTTTCAAATCCCGGTATAATTAGGCATATGTTTCCCCCTTGTCTTCTTGTAAATAACATTGTCTTGGGAAGAGAATGTAACTCAGTGGTGGAGTGTGTACTTAGCTAAGCATGTACTGGGCCTGACAACACCAAAAATAAAGAAAAAACTTAGTCTCTTTATTTGATGGATTTACCACATTACCACTTCCAATGTTTTATATATATATATATATTTTTTTTAATTTTTCTCCCTCCCTCCACTTCTTCTCCCTTTTCATGGTTTTTAAATTGATACACGAAAACATAAAAGTTGTACATATTAATGTGGTACCATGTAATGTTTGATACGTTTACATATTGCATAATGGCTCTTGTAGGGGTTCTTTGGGCAAAACTAGGGATTGACCCCAGGGGCACTCTACCACTAAGCCATACCCCCAGCACTTTTCATTTTTTCTTTTGAGACTGGGTCTCAAAAGTAATTGAGGCTGGGCTGGGTGCATTGGCACACGTCTGTAATCCCAGCGGCTCAGGGGTCTGGGACAGGAGGATTGCAAGTTCACAGCTAGCCTCAGCAAAGGCGAGGTACTAAGCAACTCAGTGAGACCCTGTCTCTAAACAAAATACAAAATAGGGCTGGGGGTGTGGCTCAGTAGTCAAGTGTCCCTGACTTCAATCCATGGTACCACAAAAATAATAATAATAATAATAATAATAAAGCTGCTGAGGCTAGCCTCAAACTGGTGATCCTCCTGCCTCAGCCTCCAGAGTCACTGGGTTACAGGTGTGTGCCACCATGCCTGGCCCTCTTTGGTAATATTTAAATAATGTTAAACATATTTATCTCGTCAAACATTTATCATTTCTTTGTGGTGAAAATTTTCAAAATCCTTTTTTAAAACTTTGTTAAATGCATGGTACATTACTGTTCCCTATTGTGCACCAGTGTTTTTTTTGTGGCTTATTTACACTCATGTGTTTGAATACATATTGTGTATTTAACATTGTGTGTTTAATATTTAGAATATGTGTTATTTCCTTAATCCCAGGATGTTATTCAGTGCCAGTCAAAGTGCAGGATGAGGGGACACTTACACAGGATGGGAGAACAACAACAGAGAACACAGCAGTCACCACGGTGGGCTCAAGAGTGAGTACAAGGGGCTGGGGATGTGGCTCAAGCGGTAGCACGCTCGCCTAGCGTGCGGCCCAGGTTTGATGCTCAGCACCACATACAAACGAAGATGTTGTGTCCGCCGAGAACTAAGAAAAAATAAATAAATGTTAAAATTCTCTCTTTCTCTGTCCCCCTCTCTCTCTCACTCTCTCTTTAAAAAAAAAAGAGTGAGTACACGTCAGTGGCTGAGCATCTCCAGCCTTCACTCCTTATTCTATAATTTACCTTATTTATTCTGCAGTTTAGATATCAAGGTATCTCGCAATGCTATTGAGGAGCATGTCCCTAAGGAGTCCTTAGGAAGCAAGTAACAAAACCTAACTCAAACTGGCTTAGCCCCTTAGGACTTTATTGAACCACCTGTGATCCCAGCGGTTGGGGAGGCTGAGTCAGGAGGATCCTAAGTTCAAGGTCAGTTTCAGCAAATCAGTGAGGCCCTAAGCAACTAAGTGAGACCCTGTCTCTTAAAAAAAAAGGGGGGGTGGTGGTGCTGGGGATGTGACCCAGTAGTAAAGCACCCATGGTTCAATCTCTAGTTCAGAAAACAAGGTAGAGGGGTCTGGGGATGTGGTTCAAGCGGTAGCGAGCTCGCCTGGCATGCATGGGGCGCTGGGTTCGATCCTCAGCCAGCACCACATAAAAAAACAAAGATGTTGTGTCCACCGAAAAATTAAAAAATAAATATAAAAAAAAACAAGGAAGAAAGAAAAGTAGGGGATAGGAGGTGGGCAGAGGAGAATAGAAAGAGAGTGAAACTTCTTTCTACCTTTAGTAAAAGAAGAAGAGCAAAAAGGAGGAGGAGGAGGAGGAGGAGGGAGGGAGGGGAAGCACACTTCCCTCTGACTGTTATTGAACCAGGCCCATTTCGCCTGCTACACAATATGCCCATCACTGAAGTGAAGAGTACTGTAAGAGTTTGTCAGGCAGCCAAGTGCAGATACAAGAGAGTAAGTCAAATCTGCCTCCCCCAGGCTAGCGGTTAGAGGTATTTATAGGATAAAGGACAGTGATTTAAGGAGTGGGGAAAGGTGACTGAAGGTAAGGTGATCAGTGGTCTGCACAGGTGTAGTCAATATTCATCTCTCTTCATAGGATTCATGTTCAGGAAATGAAAGCAGCAGCAGGGTCTGAGAGCAGGTTTCTTGACATTGAGAGGTCATCCATTGGACAGCTGCACAGGCCCAAGCAGGAGTCAGTAGTTTCAACAAAAGCAGCCTTCAACATTTGCAGGTATATGGATGGAGTTGGAGAATATCATGCTAAGCAAAATAAGCCAATCTCAAAAAACCAGGAGCCAAATATTTTCTCTAATAAGTGAATGCTAATCCATATGGGGAGGGGTGCATGGGCTAAGTGGAGGAACTTTGGATGGGGCAAAGGGGAGGGGGGAAGGGGGCAAAGGGGTATGAAAGATGGTGGAATGAGACAGACCTCATGACTCTAGATACAGGTATGATTGCACGAATGGTGTGACTCTACTTCATGCACAATCAGAGAAGTGAAAAATTCTGCCCCATTTGTGTACAATGAATCAAAGAGCTTTCTAGCCAGGCATGGTGCACACCTGTAATCCCAGCTTCTCAGGAAGGTGAGGCAGGAGGATCCCAAGGATGAGGCCAGCCTCAGCAACTTAGTGAGACCTTGTCTTAAAATTAAAAAAAAAAAAAGAGTAAAAAGAGCTGAGATGGAGCTCAGTGATAGAGTGCCCCTGGGTTCAATCCCCAGTACCACAAAAAGGAAGGGAGGAAGGGAGGGGTCTTCAAGTCCCTGGGAAGTAACAGGCAATCATCATCATCTTCCCATACATCAGAGGTGTTGCCTATAGCAAAACTGGTGGGAGATTATTAATATATTTCTCAGCTGCATGACCTCCAAAATTAGTGGCTTTTAAAGCCAACGAAAAGCAAATAATTAAACGCAGGTAGAGCCAGAGGTTTTATTCAGCTTTCTCCCTGGTTTCATGATTGGGCCAACTGTGTTCACGTTCCTTGTCCCTGAGCCAATCAGTTAAAGATGTTGGAAATGCCGACCATGACAACCAGTCAGGGCCCACCTACAGCACAAGGGTGCGGCCAGCCCCACTCCAGTCACGGCTGAGGCAAAATGGGAGGACCACAATGTCCCTTCCCCACACCCATGCACAAGAGTGCAGGGCTCAGTGTACTGAGCGCCCCACGGTAGGTGCTCATTGTCCCCTGGCAGCCAGCGTCACAATCTGCCTGTCATCCATTATACTAAAATAAGCACTTGCCCCAGTGAAGAGAGAAATCTGCAGCTCCTCCCAGAAACAAAAGTTTCCCTATAGTTTTATGACTGTTGGAAAACATTTTCGAGGAAGGAATAGGCTTGGGAATGTACCTGTTACTTACAGCCTAGACCAAAAGCCCGTTTATTGTTACTGATGAGAAAACTCCATTTATTGTCTGCCTTGGTGGCTCCTGCTCTTAATTCCAGGTACTCGGGAAAGGCAAGAGGACCACTAAATTGTGAGACCTTGTTTAAAATTAAAAAAAAAAAAAAATGTGGAAGAGGCTGGGGATATAGCTTAGTGGTAAAGTGCCCCTGGGTTAAAATTAAAAAAAAAAAAAAAAAAAACAATTCTAAGAAAAAGCTGGGTTGTAGCTCTGTGGTAGAGGACAAAAAAAAATTTTTTTTTGCAAGGACCCCAAAATATTGCACCCAGAAGTTATATTTAAATACTAGTGTGCATATTGAGTACTCAACAGCAAAACTTTTTTTTAAGAGAGAGAGAGAGAATTTTAATATTTATTTTTTAGTTTTCGGCAGACACAACATCTTTGTATGTGGTGCTGAGGATAGAACCCGGGCCACACGCATGCCAGGCGAGCGCGCTACCGCTTGAGCCACATCCCCAGCCCCCAGGCTTGTTCTTGAGGCTCAGCCATGGTCCCAAGTTCCTTTATGGTTCCCCCTCTGCAGCCTGCAACCTCTATGTTCTTCTCTGGCGCTTCCCTTCAAGGATGGAGTCATTAGAGTACACATGTCTTTTCCCATTATTCCCACTTAAAATCCTGAAATCTATTCAGATCAGACCATGTCGAGCCATATATAACAAAAAAAAAAAAAATCCACGAATTGAGGGCTGGGGTTGTGGCTCAGCAGTAGAGTGCTTGCCTTTTATTATTCATAGATTAAGAAGGCTTTTTCCAGCTTCACGATTCATTTATTGGATTGGCAATGATCCTTTCCTTACCCACATTTACACATCTGAAATTTCTCCTAGTCACATCTGGGTACCTTCTTGTAAAAGTCTGTTTTGGCAAAAAACTCTATTAGGTCAATTTAGCAGGAACCACCCCACCCCCCCAGATATCTGATGCGGTTCCTCATCCACCACCTCCTCCAGGGGGTTTCTAATCTCCCGGGCCTGTCTTCAGCAAGAATCCTAGTGGTGGGCAGCGAAGGTGGGGGTGCGGGTGAGGGGTGGGGGGGATGTGGGCTGAGGCTGTGGCTCAGCGGTAGCACACTTGTCTGAAATGCATGAGGCACTGGGTTCTATCCTCAGCACCACATACAAATAAATAAATAAATAAAGGTCCATTGGCAACTAAAAAAAAAAAGAATCCTAGTAGGTCAGCTTATCCGGAAGCCCCCTTACCCCTGAAATGCCCTCTAAAGAACTGTCCATCCACAGACACCCACCCTGTTCCTTGGCTTGCTTGCCCTAGCTGTATTTGGAGGTGAGCTCAGTCTCTCTCCTCCGATGTCAAATCCTACTGCAGTGGGCCCTCTACCTGCCAGAAAAGTCTTCTGGGCATGGTGGCACATACCTACAATCCCAGCAGCTTTAGAGGCTGAGGCAGGAGGATCTCAGTTCAAATGGCGATGCTGCTAAGCAACTCAGTGAGACCCTGTCTCTAAATAAAATACAACAAATATGGCTGGGGATGTGGCTCAATGGTTGAGTGCCCCTGAGTTCAGTCTTCGGTGCCCACTCCCCCCACCCTACCCCCACACACAAAAAAGAATGTCCTCAACACCTTCAACCCTTTCTTGTCATTCTTTTTTTTTTTAATATCTTTATTTTATTTATTTATTTTTATGTGGTGCTGAGGATTGAACCTAGGAGAAGTGTCATTGGACAATTTTTTTTAAGTTAGTACCTGTATATATAAGGGACTGTTTTCAAATTTTATGAATATTTCTATAAATTTTCAGAGATGGCCTGTGAGATTTCAGGGCACTTCTTCAAGTTTTCATAGGCTATGATGAATGATAATGCTCTGAATCAAAATGACATACATTAGCCAAGTTGGATTTGCTGTCACCATGGCATATTATGATTTATTGTAATTCTACCAATGTCTGTATTTTATGTAGATTAACCATAGATTTAAGCATTTTGTTTTACTCCCTTTTATTACTTGAATGAGCAATTCAAAAATTTATTCACTGTACCTATTCATTATAAATTATGAAATTATAAATTATGCTTTTGGGTATGACTTAAAAGTTTCCTTTGTTAAATGTACTTCTCAATGTCAGAATATTATATTTTAAAAAATATTTTTATTAGTTATTTATGGACCTTTATTTATTTATTTGTTTGTTTATATATGGTGCTGAGAATTGAACCCAGTGCCTCACACATGCTAGGCAAGCACTGTACTACTGAGCCACATCCCAGTCCCAGAATACTATATTTTTATTTTTTTGGTACCCGGGACTGAACTCAGAGCACCTGACCACCGATCCACATCCCTGGCCCTATTTTTATGTTTTCTTTAGAGACAGGGTCTCACTGAGTTGCTTAGCACCTTGCTTTTGCTGAGGCTGGCTTTGAACTCATGGTCCTCCTGTTCTCAGCCTCCTGAGCTGCTGGGATTACAGGTGTGCGCGATCATGCCTGGCAGAATGGTGTATTTTTTTTTTTAATATTTGTTTTTTAGTTTTCGGCGGACACAACATCTTTGTTTGTATGTGGTGCTGAGGATGGAACCAGGGCCGCACGCATGCCAGGCGAGCGTGCTACCGCTTGAGCCACATTCCCAGCCCCCTTTTTTTTTTTTATTGGTTGTTCAAAACATTACAAAGCTCTTGACATATCATATTTCATACATTTAAAACATCTTATGTCTTCATATGACAAAATAACTCTTCCTATATTTTATTTTCTCATTCTACTGAATGATTCTGACATGTCTTTCCAAACATTAGGTAAAGTTGCAAAGTATGTCAATGTAAAATAATAATGGAGAGCTAGATACTCCAAAGAATTCAGGAATAGCAAGGGATTGTGACCTGGGACAGGCATGCCTTGGTGAACCATTTGTGCGTTCAAAGAGGTTGAGGTATAGGGAAGCTGCTAAAGATAAAAGGGGGATGACGGCATAAATTGTTTTGAAATAAAGACCATTGTTGCTTTTTTTTTTTTTTTTTTTTTGTCTTTTTGATACTAAGAGTCAAATCTAAGGCCTCAAGTATGCTAAGCCAGGGGTCTATCACTGAGCTATATCCTCACCTCCTGGAATACTGCATTTTTAGGGAGTTCCTTGGGTCTCATCATGGGCATGATGCAGGGATTCCTGGTGATGGGTCTTCTTACTCCCTGTGTGCATGTTGATGGCTCCTTCTTTATGACCTTTTGGCTCCATTTTGTTATAGTTTGACATTGGTGACTCTATTCGGACATCAGTAACTGCCACAAGTATGATAATATGTGTATATGTGTGTGTGTGTGTGTGTGTGTGTGCGTGCGTGTGTGTATTTGGGCTGGGGTATAGTTCAGTGGAAGAGCTCTTGCCTAGCATGTGCAAGGCCCTCAGTTCAATCCCCAGCCCTGCAAAATAATTAATTAACTAATTAATTAATTAAATAACAGGGGCTGGGGATGTGGCTCAAGCAGTAGCGCGCTCGCCTGGTATGCGTGCAGCCGGGTCCAATCCTCAGCACCACATACAATGATGTTGTGTCCGCCGAAAACTAAAAAATAAATATTAAAATTCTCTCTCTCCTTCTCTCTGTCTCTTAAAAAAAAAAAAAAAACCTTTCCTTGTCTATTCGTAGTTTCTGATGGTGGCTGCAAACATTGGTGTTCCTTAACTGCTACCTGTAACTGTGCCTGTGTTGTCACATGCCACCATTCTCTCTGTCTCTGTTTTCACATGACATTTCTTTCATTAAAAAAAATAATGATTAAATAACAATAGAAGTTGAACATGATAGCACATTTCCCATAGTCAGCTACTCAAGGTGTTAGCAAACCCAAGCCTGTCTGCTCATCACCCAAAGCCAGAGAGTTGGTAGGAAGGGATTCAGATTTATTCAAG